AAAACAGGAAAAAAAAAAAAAAAAAAAAAAAAAAAAAAAAAAAAACAGGTAAAATGGTTTGTTTTTTTTTTTCTCCTCCCCAAAAATCATCTTTCCCCCTTTTTTTTTTTTTTTTTTTTTTTTCCAGACTCATGTTCAAGCTTCAAACATACTTTTCTCTTCTTCTTTTTTTCTTTCCTTCTTTCCTTTTTTTCGCATTTGCGCTCTGTGAATCGGAGCGCTGAAGGCGGAAAAAGACAAAACAAGAAAAGGAAAAGAAGGAAGGAACGAGAGCCCCACCTGTTCATCACCTCTTACGTACGAGGCCAGCCACGTGGATGTCAGGTTGAGTGTATGCTGTGTTTCACGATACATATGTTGTGACAATGTGCATCGTTTCGTCTGTTGTTTTATACACATGCACGTGCAGATGTGCATGCATGTCATGACTTGTTGCTGGGCATAGTTCTCCCCCCCCCCCCCCAAAAAAAAAAAAAAAACGCTTGTGTTAGAATCTGCCAGGCAAGGTATAGCTGTCGATGTCGTCGTTCCTTATTAATTCACCTGTTAAGAGGGAGGGGGGGGGGGAATCTGAAAAAACACACGATCACTGACGCTTGTCAAAACTCTTCTGCATTGTATGTGCTCCTTTTTTTTTTTTTTTTTTTTTTTGCAGCACAACTTCGTTACATCTGAACGGAACTGCTTTCGGGTTCGTATGTCCCTTTCACCTTGGGGTCCCTGGTTACCTTTTTTTTTTTTTTTTTTTTCCCCAAGGACCCTGGTTACCTTGACATGCACTAGACCATTTTGGGGGGTTCATTCACGTGCACACCTGGGCCCCTTAAATCTGTCTTTTGTTTTTGTCTTTCTGAAGTAACGAACGCGGACGTAGAGGGTTCGCATGTGTTTTTCAGGGTCCACTCACTTTCTGACATGCATTTCAAGAGTTACTAAATCCCTCCATTACGCCGTCCTTTCCCCCACATCTAGATGTGTATAAGAGACAGGTCCTTGGTAGTGTCGAAAGCTTTATCTGTATCTGTCCTACAATTAGTGTTGCTCCTGACCTGCTTAATTGTATTGACCAGTCAGGAAGAGGAGCCCCCACCCCGGCAGATAGGACAGGTACGCTGAGGATGACGTGGATGTTCACAAGGACACCCAAGGAGAGGTGCACCAGCACAGCATTCCGCAGGACGGCTACCGGGCAGCTCTGTTTGACGATATGTGACGCCATATAAAGTACACATATATTTATATACACGTATACATATGTATGCTGCGAGGCAGTTTGTCACAGCCCCTCTCGATTGTTGTCCTCTTCTCCCTCTCTGCCTACTACGGTTTACCGGGCAGCTCTGTTTGACGATATAGCCCCTCGTTTGTTGTCCTCTTCTCTCTCTCTGCCTACGGTTCACCGGGCAGTTCTGTTTGTGACGATATCGATTTAACATCCACATCATCCTCACCGTAGCTGTCCTATCTGCCGAGGTGGGGGCAGGTAAAGAAAAAAAGAAGAAAAGAAAAAGAGAAAAAAAGAAAAANGACCCCACCCCCCTAAGCCACCCCACCCCATCTTTGCCTAAATACTTCAACGGTATCAGGAACCCAGGAGCTGACGGATTGACAAACTGATGACGGGCATCTCTCAACTGATGATGGGTCGGTCTGGTGGAATAATAGTCAGGCGTGATGCAACACCTTGCGAGAGTGAGGACGGGCATAAATCGCAGTTTTGTAGATGTATCTGAATGCAGTTGCGGCCAGATTCAGTCTAAGAAGTGCTAGTGTGAGTGTGGAGTGAAGTTAATTTATGAGAGACGAGTGTAGTATGGTTCATGCCCTTCCTCTTCCCCTTCCCCCTCTCCTCCTCCTCCCCCTCCTCCACGCGCCCAAAATCTCCCCTCCCCCTCTCCCCTGCCCATCCCTATTATCCCTGTCTTGCCCTTATGCATGCAAAACACTAAAAAAATACAGTAAAAGATTGAGAGGGAGGTTCGAAAAAGCCAAAACAAAACAGGAAAAAAAAAAAAAAAAAAAAAAAAAAAAGCCAAAACAAAACAGGAAAAAGAATGGATCTCTAGAGTCGTGCGTGCATGAATGCATGTTTCCCGTGTTTGCATGCATGTGTGATGACCCGACCAAACACGGACTGAGACACACAGCTGATTTCTGAGTTTTGCTCACGGACTGAATGCCTTACTGAGTTTCCCGCTTGCCACTAAGTTCTGCATGTCTGTGTGTGTGTGCATGCTTGCTGGTCTGCATGTCTGTCTGAGTGCTGGTTGGCTTGAGTGTGTGTGTGTGTGACCCGCAAGGGTACTTGTCCGTTCGTTGAGCCCTCGGGGCCGGTACTTACCTGTGGCCGTGACATTGAGGAATTGCAGCGGGGGGAAACACTCAAGTAGCAGGTAGGCCGGTACCGCATCCTGAAGAGGTAGATGTGCGGGTACTGGAGGCCGAGCAGAAGAAGACAAAAGTGGCATTTTGAGAGGCCCGGTAGTTGTAGGCTAGGTCTAGGCGGGTACCAGTCCAACCAGTCTGAGTCTAGGGCCTGTACGGGCAATATCAGAGTCTGCAATGATGATTCCCTCCGAAAGGAAAGAGGTACCGGTTGCTGTGATGGCCGAGCGGCCTGGAAGTCACCGCCCAAGAGGCAAGCAGGCCGCTATATCTCCAGGCCGGGCAAAGAGCCCAGCCTCATTGTCGGTGTGCAAGTTCGGCGACACACTGGTTGGAGGGCTGGCTGGAGCAGAGCAGCGCTGCTGGGGAAGGAGCAAGGACACGGAGGAGGAAGAAGGACAGGAGGAAGGGGGAGCGCCAGAGGTACTTACCTGGCTATGGTGGCAGCCATCTTCATCATCTTGGTGGGCGCTGCAGCAGGAAGAACCCAGCGGGGGTAGAGCCACACCAAGAAGCTTCGAGGCAGAGTCAGGCATGGCGGCCTGAGCTGGAGCAGCCATAGCTGCTTTGGGTTGTCCTTTGGACATCAGGGCAAGGCCCAGTAGTCTGCCATAGCCTCGGCCTATGAGAGTGAAGAGTGAGGGAGGCGGCCATGGCTATGGTGGACCTCAAGTGATACCTGCAGTAGAAGAGGAACTCGGACAGGATTCTGGATCAGCCATTCAACATTGTACTATTATTCTTGTATGAATAAGAGAGGAGGAGTAAAGGAGGAGGGAGTGTTGGGCGAAGAAGAAGAGCCTTGTCGCTTGTCTATGCTGGTGTACATCATATTCTTTTTCTTTCTTTCTTCTTCTTCTTCTTCTTCTTACCCTCTCTCTCCTCTCAAGTTCATTCATTTCTTTCTGCAATTGGACGGCATCATACTATCTGATGAATGTGTATCTCGAAATTGGTCAGGATAACACATGCATGTTTCCCGTGTTTGCATGCATGCGTGCATGCTTCTTGGTGTTTGCATGCAAACACGGGAAACATGCATGCATTTCAGTGTATGTACCTGCTCCGGTGTTTGCTGACATGTGCTACTGTGTGCACAGACGAACGTATTCCCAAACTTTCAGAAAATTGGAAAACCTCTCTGATTTGCTCTTTCATTTTGTTTTAACTTTTAAGATTCGGAACTTCACGATGGTTTAGTTTCCTCCCTTCTTTTCAATACTTGATAGTGTCCACATGTCCACGTGGAACGCTGTCATTAAGCATGGAAAGTTTATGGACCCGTGGAAAACAGCTGCATCCATGGGAAACCCATGGATTATTGGAAAAAGGAAAATGCTTGGAAACCTTCTTAGCACACTACTATTCGATCCGGGTGTTCTTTTTCTGACCCTGTATGGCCACGCCACGGCTGGGTGCAATTGTGTTTAAACTTCCAAACTCACTACAAATCCACAATAACTACAAACGCTTTCGAGAATATGATTATACTTATCATTTTCACCAGTCTTTGCGATGTTGAAGCTCACGTACCTTCGTCCCTCGAATACAACGTATGGTCATTATAGCTGTTTTTGAGGCATCTTTCAGTCTAGATACAGCTATAATGACCGTACTTTGTAAACAACTATGATGACGGTATGTTTGTATTGGGGGGGGAAGAAGGTAGGCCAATTTGGCAGCTGGTGGATGTTGACTGGTTGGTCTGTAGCCAGCTGCCTTCAATCTTCGCCACACAAGTAAAGTGCTAGAAGCGCAGCACCCAGCACCCAGAACGCGGAACGCGGAACACGGAACAAGGAACATGGGACACGTAACAGAGAACTCAGAATCCAAAACAGAACACAAAGACAGAGCACATTTCAATACAACTACCATCTTCACCCGAAGAGAATGTGCGGTTATTATAGCTGTATATGGTACAACTTTCAGTCCAAGTACGGCGATAATTACTGTGCGTTCAATTCAGGTGAAGACGGTAGCTCTACATAGCACATAGTTCTATGTAACACTAGACAGCTCTATGTAGCACATAGTTCTACATAGCGCTGCGTCTCTACAGAATGCATTGTTCTCCCTATCACTATAGAGCAGTACAGAGGGCGACATAGCACTACAGAGGACTCCAGAGGACTACATAGCAGTACAGAGGACTACATAGCAGTACAGAGGACTACATAGCACTGCAGAGGACTACAGAGGACTTCAGAGGACTAAAGAGCAGTACAGAGGACTACATAGCACATAGTTTTTCATAGCACTACATAGCACTACATAGCACTACAGAGGACTACAGAGGACTACAGAGGACTACAAAGGACTACAGAGGACTACAGAGGACTACAGAGGAGTACAGAGGATTACAGAGGACTGCATAGCACTACCGAGCAATGCAGTCCTACCATAGACAGGTAAGTACCCCTGGTGCTCTCCTCCCTTGTCCCCTTCTTCCTCCTTCCACCAGACGCTGTCCACCCTAGCCAAGGTGGAAGCCCTGCCGCTCCTCCCCTAGCGCTCTCCACCAGGTGCTCCAGCAGCATGACGCCCAAACTTGCATGCAGAAAATGAGGAAGAGCAAAACGCTCTTCCTGGAGATATAGCGGGCAACCTGCCTCTCTTGGGCAGCGACTTCCAGACCGCGAAGCCTCCCAAGCAACCGGTACCATCCTCCTTTCGGAGGGAAACATCATTGCAGGTCTGATATGGTCTGCTACAGGCCCTAGACTCAAACTTCTGGACTGGTACCCTAAACCTAGGCCTACCGGACTCCTAAAGTTCACGCGGCCTCTAAAGGTACAAACTTTTTGTCTTCTTCTGCTAGGCCTACCGCTACTCAGGTGCTATCGGGCCTACACTACCGCCACTAGTGTGTGCCCTAAGCTACCCCTCAGCTACTTGAGTGTTTTCCCCGCTGCAAGCCTCAAAGTTACGGCCACAGGTACGTACCAGCCCCATGGGCCTCCCAGACAAACAAGTGCCCTGGCGGGCCACACACACACTCAGGCCGACAAACACTCAGACAGGCACACGGACAGCAAGCATGCACACACACTTTAGAAAACTCAGCAGAACGTGGGAATCTCAGGGAGGCATATATTCCAGCTGCAAAACTCAGAAATCAGCTGTGTTCTCAGTCTGCGATTTTGGATTTTGCGGGTTGTTATATACCATTCTTCTCGAAAATCAAGAGGGTACCCTACCGGGCAATTCTGGTTATTTTGGGAGCTTTCAGGACATACCTAGTGGGACGTACTTCAGTTGCCCCTGACATTGTTTGGACCACAGGCCGTTTTGGCCATCGGGTGATTCATCCATTTCTGGGGCTGGTCCTTTCAGACCTGCTCTTGGTGGGTTCAACTAGACCAAGACGGGTACGGACATTGCTTGTTACATTGGTTTACTTGGACTGGATGTGTTTCACTCCATGCTCTGTCGACTCAACCTCACCTATGGTAGGTATGTCGTGCTTCATTGGCTTTGCGGAGCATGTTCGGGTGTTTCTGAACCTTGCCTGGATGTTACACAGTTCATAATCCTGGCTGCAGGTTTCACATGAAAGCCCGAGGGCTGTGCTTGTGATTATGTTGCGACTTAGGAAGGTGCGATGGATTTCCCTCTTGGCCTGTTTCTTCATGTGTGTTGCTCTGTGTGTGTGTGTGTGTGTGTGTGTGTGTGTGTGTGTGTG